CTTGAGGCCATAGTTGCTGAAAGAGATTGTTGACAACAATAACAAAGTGAACGATACCGAAAAATTAATAAAACCAAGTGGACAATACTAAACTAAGGTAGGAACTGAGGATCCACGATCAGATCAAACCAAAACTGGGAAGATGATAGTAAAATTGTGAACTATTCCTAAAACAGGGCGGGATTCGATGACCCGCTATTAAAATGATCTAAAACCTAATAGTTGACCCCTAAGACAGATAGATGAGGCTCCAACGACCACAATAAGACTAGTGACACGAACATTGTTCAATATGTCTCCAAGTGCCTTATATGTCAGAAAGTGAAGATTAAGCACCGGAAGCCCTCAAGTTTCCTTCAACCCTTGGAAATCCCAAAGTGGAAGTTAGATAGTATATCTATGAACTTCATGGTAGATTACCTAAGACACATGCAGGTCATGACCCTATTTAGGTTATTGTCGATAGGTTGACCAAGTCAGCATGTTTTCCACCAGTGAAAGTGAGCTTATCCACGGAGAAGTTAGTCCAACTTTATGAGTGAGGTCGTGATACTTCTTCGGGTGCCCAAGCATATTATTAGTGAGGGGGATCTGAAGTTCATATCTCATTTCTGGGGAGTCCTACAAGATACTTTTGGTAATCAGTTAAGGCTCAACACTACTTACCACCCTCAGACACATGGTCATATTGAACGGACTATCCAGACCTTAGAGGATATGCTGAGAGCTTGCACTTTAAAGTATGGTATCAAATGGGATAGATACATTCCAATGGTGGAATTCTTGTACAATAAAAGTTTCCATTCTAACTTGGGCATGGTTTCTTATGAGGCATTATATGGCCGCAGGTGTAGAACACCTACTTGTTGGACTAAAATTAGAGAGAAATAACTTTTCAGTCATACATGGTTCATGGCACTTCAGAGCAAATTAAGATTACCAGAGAGAAACTGAAGATAGCTCAGAATCGTCAGAAAAGATACTATGATATTGAAATTGGATAAATTGCACCACCAGGAACTAAATTAGGTTCCGAAATATTATGAGGACAACTTAATAAAGTAGACTCAGCTAAAGAGTCACAACCTTGTTCCACAAGCTTATAACTTAAAAGACACAAGAATAACAAGGGTCAGTTTGCTTTCCCTTATTTGTTTTTGAGGGTTTTAGAGTGGTAACTTTTGAAGAAGTTGTTATATCTGAGGTTTGATGGGAAGCCGTGCTCAAGGGATTTAAATTAGTTTTGCGAATATATTGAGGAATTGGAGTACTTGGAATAGAACAACTTCGACCCCAACTTCTAGAAGTTGATAATACAGATCTTTTTCTACTACCACCACTACAGTAATCACGAAGCATTGCTTCCATCTTTTCTTCTTCGGTTCGGGGTATTCCCCAAAACCAAAACCGAGGTCCAGGAGAAATATTTTGAAGAAATTTAGCCTCATCCTCCTCTGTTATGTCATCACGGCCAACACGCCATAAATTTCTTTTCCCTTTCATTGTTAGAAATTGAACACAGAAAACACTCAAGTGTTTAATGAAAAGGGAAGGGAAATAACAATATGGTTTGTTTACCCAGAAAAATCAAAGAGATTCAACGACCTTGAGGAATATAGCACAAACACAGGGAAAAAGCATTAAGGATTCAAGATTGCAGAATAACCAGTGAAAGAGGAGTATTACATAATTCAAAAAACAAAGCCCTAAAAGATATGGCTAAGAGGTGAAGATTCAAGAATGAAAGTTATTTCAAATGCCCATAATAAGCCAAAAATAAAAGATATTTCAAAGAACAATGAAGGTACCTGGACAAGAAAGATTTAGGGACCACTTTTTTTTTTCCAAATGATGAAACAAAGCACCAGAATCTTCGTGTTTCAGAGGCACAAAAGGAGAGCAAAATGGAGACCCTTAAGAAGTGCAAATGTGAAATGAAGGAAAAAGGGTGGAATATGAAAAATCCAGTGTAACCGTCGGAGTTACGAAGAGTAAAAGACAGTGGCAAATGTGTAAATTTTCCCCCAATATAATGATTAGATATATGAAGAGACAAGAGCAATAAAGGCGCACGAAATGCAAAGACGACATATGGTTGTTATAACGCGTTATGTTAACCTAAAGTTGCCACGTGTAAAAATGAAATTTTAATCTTAGATCTATGATCTTGAGGATAGGATTGAACTAATATGAGAAAGATGATTATTATCTTGGTTCCTTTGGAGTCAAAATATAAGAAATTATGTAATGACTAAGAACTGAGATTAACATAGAATGAAACGAGAAGATCAACAAAGAGACCTTCTTGTAAGGTTCAATTATAATATGTAAAGTGGATTGCACTTAACCCGGATTGATAAACAATTCATTTATCCTATGATTTTTCGGGATGGGGGCAATTTATGGTTATCACCCGAAGTTAATCATAACTCGAATGATAAGAAATATTAAACCAAGAAAGGAAATAGATTCATAGAAAGGATAAAGATAAAATATGAATTATATCCCGGTAATATTGAACATTCAATTTACCCGGTCGGGAGACAAATGAATTATATCTTCATATTGTGGTGATTTGATAGCAATCAAATCCAGAAACATATAGCATCAAGATATAATCAATATTGATAATAGAAAGCGGGATGATTCTTAATAGAGACCCAGATAATTCTTATAATAAAGATCCAAAACCATTAACTTATATACACCTCAATAGCACGGACATCTAGACTACCTGGTTGATGGCAATTATTATGGTCTCATATATGAGGCCAATCTAGTATAAAGGCCAATAAGAGGCAATAAAAAATAAGAATCTAATATAATCAAAGGTGAATATCAATTTAAGATATTAATCCTAGTACGACATCATCAAACTTGGGCTTGAGCTTCCAGAAGAGGCACAAAAGATCCATAATTCCAACACTCACAAGTAAACCCCATTAATAAGAGGTAAAACCTACACGTATGGACATTCTCTCTATTTACTGTTATGTTGTCACTGTGCACATACTCCACCCCTTTGGCAAAAGTCGTTCTTATTTGTGCACAATGATCTGCTATACTCAAAGGTATCTAATTCATAGATATCTGAGAGAGCACTTAGATCCAAGATAACTCACTAGTCTTTTTGGTTAGACATATCTGTCCTTAGGAAAAAATAAACTCAAAGCACGTTGGGAAGGTGTCTTAACGCGTTGGCTTTTAGTAGGAGCGTGTTTTAACAGGCTAGCGCGTTTTAACTCGTTGTGCCTAGGAAAGTTTCACTTGTTTCACGCGTTAAAACACGCTACATGGCATTTTAATGCGCTGGCCCAATTTCAATTTTTCATCTTTTATCCCTCAAGACTTGTATGCCCCACTTGGCCTGGGGTTGTAAGATTGTATAGAACTTTCCTACCAAGATTAATCATTATAATCGATGAATTAGGCGTAATGAACATGAAATGAACTTGTTTATGTAAAAAGAAAAAAATTACTCACATTATCACTATACCTATATTTTATTTCTCAATCTTACATACCAAGAGGTTATCTTACTCTAAGTAAATGATTTAAATCTATTCTAAGTTGCGTTTAATACTGTAATTGAGCTAATACACCGGATGCACACGAAGTGTTATACTCCACGTGAACTCCATACACTTTTATTTGTGTAGGAAATAATTTTATTTCCTAACAAAAAACATTGAACTTTTTTTAATACAATAATAACACTTATATTTAAACTTATAACCTCGTATATGTTGTCCAATCTCCTCAACAATAGCACACTCGTAGTGGCTTTACATGCCAAATTTTAAGCCATCTATCTCTATGAAATCTAAGTCTTTCGTCAACTCAATATTTAGGTTCAAATTTTATCTAACTTTATAGCTAATAAAATTAAACAAGTAAAATTTGTATAAATCCCCTCTCACTTTACCATTAGGGCATGTTTGGAGCACCTGATAGAGAAGATAGGATAGGATAACTTATCATATCCTACTTTTATCTCTTGTTTGGTGGGTCAATAGGATATGATTAGCTTATCCTATTGTCTCATTTTATCCTATCCAATATATGATTTCTTATCCTATGGGGGAAGTTGAGTTAGGATTCAACAGGATAGGATACCAATATTTAATACCCAATATATTCCCACGCTACCCATTATTTCTCACGCTACCCAACATATTTGTATTTATTACATTATATTTTATTTTTTCTTTCTCCTTTCTCCTTTCTCCTTCTACATAATCTTATCAGATTACTAATCAGGTGCTCATCAAACATAGGATATCATATAGGCTTATCAACCCCATATCATATCCTACCCTTATCCTATCATGTCCACCAAACGAGCCCTTATAATCATAAATGCACGCTAAACATAAAACAGCAAAGTTCTAACAGCTCCAAACTACCACCAATACAGTCACCACCCTCTGTCAGAATCCTTGTAGGTTCATAATTTGAAAGTAAAAAGTCAGGTCTAAATATATATCTATATATTTTTGGACACATGAATTGAAGGTATAGATCTTCGCTACCTAGATGTTAATAATTTTTTTTAATTCTCTTATTTGTTTATTGAAAATCGGACTATTTTAATTCGAATTCTATCTGTATTAAAATCATGAGTCGACTGTTTCAAGACAATTTTCTTCACTAATTAAATGTTAATAACTGGTTGCAAGTCTTTTGAGTATGCATACCGATCCTAATTACAATCTAAAGCTCGTATCATTCTGTTGTTGTTTCATGTATTGTACATTTGACATACATAATCAAAGGTAACTTTGTCATATGCATTCCTAATAAAAGCAGCGCTCCAAACACTAAATAATTAAAACACAAACAAAAAAAGAAGCAAGAATACCCTTATCTCTAAAAAATAAATAAATAACCATTGGATCATACTTCCCTTGAAAATGAGAAGAGATTCATGCTTCTGGCAGGACTCATCATATCATTCATTGTTGGAAGGAAAAATAGCTAATAAAAGAGAATAATACGGAAAATGGTTCAGTACAAAATTTTATTATTTGCAACATGGGGCAGAAAAATTTCTCGATACATAAGCTAGGTAATTAGAATTACTCTCGGGGCGACTCAACTGTTTATATCATAGGAAGTGATGCACAAAAAATATCTGTAACATAATAAATTCCATAACCATTAACTGAACCATGGAAACTTGCAATTAAGCAAGGCTCAGGCACCTGCAGCACTCTAGTTTTGACCACTAGATTTGCTTTTGCGACCCCAAAAAGGAGTGGTCTCAATAAGCTGATGAGGCACAAGTTGTTTCTCCCTCTTAGTAAGCTTCTTGAAGTTGTGGACCCTAAGCCTAGCAATCTCTGCCTCTTCTTCAGGGGTTATCTCTCTTACGACAACTGTTAGCCTGCATTCTGGTCTGATTTTGAGCCCAGCTTTTCCTTTGCCATGGTAGGAAATTCTCTTTTTAAAATATCCCTTTCCAACAAATGCTTCGGCTATAACAAAAAGGAATGCAGCATCAGCAGAGATAAAACAATTTTATTTCTCAAACAAACAAACCATTCCCCATCAAACTCAGACTAACAATGATGGAGTGAAGGCAATACTTGTGCGTAACCTTACTCTTGCATATTTACAAGGAGGTTCTTTCGCAAATTCTAACCCATGACTTTTTAATCACAAGGGAGCAGTTTTACCACTGCTCCATACTCGTCCTCTTATAAAACAACTTTATTTCTAATATTTGAAAAGAAAAGAAAATCATTCCCCATTAAACCCCGACTAATGAAGGTAGAGACGAAGGCAATCCAATAATTATGAATTTTATTTCTATTAATTACTACGAACTTAAAAATATTACCAACAATGAGACGATCCGGATCCAACCCATGATTATGAGAGGCATTTGCTCGGGCTGAATGAATAACCTGCAATATATAGAATCTTTAAAAACTATGCTTTCACTTTTGCTTTTCCTATAAAAGGCAATCGAGGAGGAACCTTCCTCCTCCATTGAAATCGAGCATACCTCAAATTTAAACTATCACACATTCTTGTCTGTATATTAAAATAATATACCAGCAAAGAGCATGGAAGAGGAAGGACCCCATATATTAGATATTGGTGATATAAGGAAAATAATCATGAAATTAGAAAACGAATCTTGTGCATGTCCAATTCCTTCTTCCTCATTATCATGACATTATCCTAGTATAAAAATCTAGAATACCTCTTTGAAACCCAGGTACTTGAGATCAACCACAAAAATGAGAAGGGGTTGGGAGGGAGGCAAAAATGGAGGAGAAAAAAGAGTAACAAAATCTAACGCATACCCTAGAAAAATTTATAAAGCAATTAAATATATTGCTTTTACAGTCTTGTCCATCGAGGTGACAATGAAAAATACTTGGTATTATTACCTGATATGCAGTTTTTGCAGCTCGCTTAATTGTTACTTGCAACTGCATCAATGCATCTTTAACAAGCATACCACGCACCAAAGCAGCAACCAAGTTGACCTTCTTTGGACTCTAAAATAAGGTTGAAAATAAGGTATGTAAAAATTGCAACCAGTAGATATGAATCAGACCCTTGAATCTTAAACCATAATTTATGACACTTTCCAGAGCAATCAAGACCTAAGGGAGGCATTTCAATTGCTAGAAAATTAGATATCTGCACGTCAGCAAAAGTTGTTACACGCCGATTAAAATAACACATAGTTTCTTAACAAGTAGGCAGGGGCACCACATAAATGCAACAAAACATATTTTTTCAATTTTCACATTATCGCTATGCTAAATATGCCTGTGGTGATACTTCTTGTTGTATCCACTTTAACACGCATACTAGAAATGTGATTAGCAGGTTACATTAAATTAAATAAATGCTCACTCAAGGATAACACCAAACCACATAACAAAAATAAGTGTAACATTGAATTTCACATCTGAATCGTGTAAGAAACTGATAGAACTGGTCTCTCCCCCACAACTCAATTCTAATCTCGCCGTGCCTCCCTCTCTGCCCTCTATTTCCTTTTATCCTAATGCGGACATAGAGGAGTATCCTACCAAATCATGAAATAATATCCCCTTAAATCAAGTAACTCTATCTGTTATATCTAACCCTATCGATTAATAACAAGTAACCCTATCTACTATATCTAAAAATATAAATTAATATCAGGTAACACTATCTAATATTTCTAATGATATAAATTAATATCAGGTAGTAAACTATATCTAATATATCTAACAATATCAATTAATTCTAAGTCTCTAATTACTATTACTAACAAGGCCTACCCAACTAGATCATTGAGCTTGAGCCCATCCTTATTTCTTCTAACCTATTTTCCTAAATAGAGGGATCCTAACAAAAACCAACCAATTAGCCATAAACAATGCAGGTGCTAAGGAAGTTAAAAAATTAGCGCAAGATCAAATTTTAAGCACCTACATCGAATTGGAAAACAATCTATCATGAACAGTATATGTATTGCAACATTTCAAAAATTAGTGCAAGATTGAATTATAAATAGTTATATCAGAATTGCACATAATCATGAACGGAATATGAAATAAAGCATTTCAAAAATTAAGGCTTGTTTGCTAATTTGACTTCAGGATGAATTGAAATGATATAAGACTGAAAATTAATTGAGAATGTATTAGCCACCATCCTATTAAAAACATGTATATTAGAAAGTGGTAGAAGGGTAACAATGGAAACATGTCAGTTTCTGAGGCTGAAGTGTGTGAGAATAGCAGGGAGCATGGGTAACCATCCTGCACAGCTGGCAGGGAATGCAGGGAGTGTTAGGAGCAAGGCAGTCACTGAATGGAGAGAATATTCAGCGCTCCCGGAAACATGCACCGGGAGGAGAGAGAGAGAGAGAATGTGAGGAGAGAGGAGAGAGAAGAGAGGAGAGAGAGGGAGAAATAGAGGCCGGACCACTGAATATTTTTCCCACTGAATGATGAATACAAAAAACTAAAAAGAATTTGTTTTAAGTGAAAAATGATGAACAAATTCAGCACATGGGCAGTCACTGAATGAACAAGGCAGCAATCTGATACAACCCCTCCCAAAATAAAGACTTATCATAGACAACGCTACAGGGAACCTCACCCTATCAGCCTTGCAAGAGATGCACCCTAGGATAATAGTGTAACAAACTTATCAGCTAATGCTGACTCAGCAAACGGTTAGAGCAGTGTGTGAATAAAAGAAGGAATGAAGGAGCTGAACGAATATCTTTTTGGACAACTGGGACTTAGGCTCTTTGGGAGAGATCAGGGGCTCTCCAACTCCTCTGAACCTATCTTTCTTTCCATTATTTTGCAATCTGTTTTGTGGTCTGTAATTAGGGAGAATCATGGATTAATACTGTTTTAGTGTTGGTGTTTACTTGTAATTGATGCTGTTGGTTGAGATATATATATATATATATATATATATATATATATGTATATATATAAATTGTCTCTGTTTACAATTTTACTTTTGAATCTGTGAGTAAATCTGTTAACAATCATTTCCCAATCTAAATAATTAAATGAAAATAATTCCTCTGGTGTTGCCATGTTTTATTATACTGAATGCTAATAGTTTTCTTTAATTTAATTTTCAGCACTTAAAATTAAAATCTTTTCAAACAAAATACATTCAATATTTAATTTTCCAGGACTGAAATATCAGTGCTGAAATTTTCAGGTTTATCAAACATGCTCTTAATGTAAGCTTGAATGTTAAGCACTTACATCCAAATCGTGCATATAAGAAAATCAAAAGCAATCAATCATGAACAATGATGAGATAAGGCATCTCAAACCTGCTTTATTCCCTTTAATATTGCTTGAACTTTTTCTGGCTTAGTAACAGCTTTCTGCTTCTGGTCTTCACCTTTTGTACTACCCAAAAATGAAACTGGGACTAACGGTGATGAAACAGCTGTTTTCTCGGATAAATCTACGAGCAACTGGGTAGAACTTGAAATTCCCTGAAATTACTCAAGTAATAAAATACAAAACATGAAGTTAAGAAAAGGGAATGTATGATCAGTAACAAAAAGAAGTCCATACTGAGATATAAAATTATAATAATCATAACACTAGCTCAGTATGCCACTAGGTTGTAGCTTAATGAGTTGGAAGAAATCTGAACAATCTTGTCTGTGTGAATTTCAAAACATAACGAGTATGATCAACATGTCCAAGAAAACAAATCACCACAATTTCGCAAGCAACCAGAAGAATCATTATGAAGGTGATTTTTTTGTTGATGGAAAAAGATATTCATTAAGAAAGAAGATATATACAAAGAGAGGAGTACAAGATATCCTCCATAAGAAAACCACTATAAGAGAAAATTAGAAAGAACCAGCAAAACAGAACTTGATAATAACCCAGCATAATGGCAATCTAATCTCTATGCAAATTTGAAATGGCAACACCCTTAAACAAAGCGGTGCCAAGCACCAAAGAGAAGCCAAATGCCTTTTTCTTTCCCAAAACAATTCTGCAAACATCAAAGCACCTTGGAAAATCCAAGCATTCCTCTTCAACCATATGCACCACAAAACAGCGAGCACAGCAGTCTTACAAAATCTTAACCTCTTTTCTTCTTCCATACCCTTTATACCTTACTGCCTAAAGGTCTATACGGAGTTAGGAGTTAGGACAAAGCCAATATTCACCAGAAACACCAAACAGCCTATTCTACAAGAAATTAGCAGTCAGACAATGAGATAGGAGCTGATATAACAGCAAGACAGATAGAAGGAAACAACTAGGAGCAAAGCCCAACTGTCCAAGTAGAGTGGATAAACTGAAATATAGAAATGAGTATGAAAGTATGACAGAAAAGAAAGAAGCTATCAGAGAAGCAAGAATGCTTTCTCCGCCCTATGGCTTTAGCTACTTTGATTACCCAAATGGTCCGACCCCAAGGGAAAAAAAAACACTACTCACCATTCCCTTCATATTCACATTCACTTCCATGATTCCAGCACCCTATATACCAATTCCCTGCTGTCAAGCGTCTATTCAGTTAGAGCCAACTTTCTCTTGCATCAAAACCTCCTCCACTAGACTTCCCAGCTCAATGCCCAATCTATCCCCATTCCCCCTCTCCTTTCTACAGTATACATGAATCGAAGGCCCATGATTTAGAGGTTCATCAGAATGTAAAAAAACAAATGTATATCTAATTCAGAATTGGTCATGCACATAACACAAATATCAAGGGAGATGGCTGTTTTAGATATCCAAATCTGCAACTACATTTATCCCATTCAATACTGTTGTCCAGCCAAAAGAGACTGCCTTAGAAGGAACATTGGATTTCGTAATAAATTTATCAATGACTGACTTCTCTCTATTACGAGAATGAGTCAAGAAATGAAAGAACAACTTACTATAGTAACCACTACAAAGTTCAAGAGTCCAACTTCTCCTACCCCAAATAGATGAAAGATTGATATTTTCTATGAGGAGAGATCCCAAGTCTTGAGTTTTCCTATGATTAAAATCCCCCAAAAAAGTGAAAGTGCCAGGAAATATAGTCACCCTAATGAAAACAAAAAATTATGGACCAGTGCGTTATATAAAGAAGAAACACAATAGGGGCACGGAAATGCCTCAATGAGATGCCACCTACCCAAATATCTTCTCAAAATCTTATTTGAGAAGAATCTCCCAATTTTAAGGAAACAAAGTATAATAATAATGTGAAATAAATTTCCAAGGTCTTCTATGAGTAACAGTGTGCCCGGATTGGCATTCCACCCATTCTGATTCAAACCATACTTGTTGCAGATCACCTGAAGCCATAAGGAAGAAGGCTCTTGAGGAAATTGCCATAATCATGTACCTACCAAAAGCAATGTATTTAGCTAGTAAGTTACCCAAACCCAAACCTGCTTTACTTTTCAGCCTACAACAAGTTTCCAGTCAATGACTACCCAAAAAGCTTATGCTATTAGGAGAAGGCTCCAGGACTTTTTTTATCTAACATGTCCCCTCCTCGCAAAAGAACCCTTTTGGCTTGAAGCGTGAACAGAGCTCAAGCCACCCAACATTGTTCTAAAATTTAACTTTAATTTAGAAGAATAGGGCTGACAAGGATCAAACTCTAGATCACTTGATCACAGAGGCTTCGATACTGTATCAATGATCAAATATCCTAAAAGCTTAAGCCTTAAGCTATTAGATGAAGGCTCGTGAATGGTTTTATATCTAACATTTCCAAAACTACCAAATGATCCTTGACTCAACAACACCAAACTAGTGGAAGTCCCACATAATTTTCTAAAATCTCTATGCCGCACAACCAGAGAAAGATAGTAAAGGGGAATGCTTGTCAAACAATACTGAATGAGTGTAATTTGACCACCAAAAGAGAAGCTCCTTTCCAATTATCCAAACATTTAAAACCTTTTGAATCACAAGAGCCCAAAAATAAAGAGCCTTTGGGTTTCCTTATTAGCATATAAAATGCTTCAATTGTGTTACTATTAGTAGAGGGGTATTTTGGTAATACCAATAATGGACTTTCTCCTAAACTAGTCTTAGAGCCTGTTTGAGACATCTTTTTTGGAGCTAAAAGCTACTTTTAAGTAGAGTTAAAAAAAAAGCTTAAAAAAAAAGCTAAAAGTTGTTTGATAATTGTATAAAATTCTTCTTAGGGTTTTGAAGGGAGGGAGATGAAATGATTTGTTATTAGGGTAGATTACAAGGGTAAATGATAAAATTCATAAATAAAAATTTAGTATAAGGGCATAATTGGAAAATAAATATGAGAATTTAAAAAAGCTTACATACATCTTAAAAAAAGCTCCTCTTAGGAGCTTTTAGCTTTTTTCTTCATTATAAAAAAAAGCTCCTTTTATAATAAGAGCTTTTATAAAATTATGTTTGGCTAAGCTTTTGTTTATAAGGAGAAGAGAAGCAAAAAATAAGAGCTCCCAAACAGGCAATTAGTAAGCTTACTGTAATAGTGGGTGTACTTGATCTTTATCTCAGATCAGTTCAAGTAGTTGTCGCCAATCAACTGATGTGTCATCAGTGTTTTTCAGCTCTATATGGAGCCACGTGTATCATACTTTGACTAGTGTGGAAGTATAGAAAATATTCAGATCACTTTTCTTCTCTCTCTATTCCTTTCCTCTTTCTCTCTCTTTCTATCATTTTCTCTTATTCCTCCAAAAGGAATACCCCAGTAAACAAAAGGTCATTGAAGGATTTGACAACCAGCCATAGAAGCAAAGGAACCACACTCATCTTTTGACATATTAATTCCTACCAAACCACTTTTATTCTGATTAAAATCTTTAGCCTGCGTATACTCAAAAGATGTCAACGAGATTGAGAACATTGACAACGCTCTCTTTGGTCACAAGAGCTGCATCCAAAATCTGCCTACTGTGAACAGAGACACTTTGGTTCTCCGTAATAGTATCAGTCAGAATCTCACTCAGTCTAAAGGAGACCACCTTGGTGATTAATTTGTAAAAATGGGTGAATTTTCATTGGGTTACTATTACTACATAAAGGCCTGAAACACACATGGTGATATAAAATCCATTTTGGTATACATGAAATGCCCTCCTTCCCATTGTTGGAGTGGAGAAGATGTCTTAACTTTACCTTACATATGATGGTGCAATCCAAACACAATTTTACCTGATGTCGTAAATAGTGATAAATAGGCCTTGAGATACTGGGCAAAGTTGTTGTGTAAGCCCTCTGCAATTGACCTATAATACCAAAGAAAGGTTTTTGTTAATGAACTCTTACAAACTTCACTAACTTGTGAACAAAAAACTGAAAATATCGCAACATAAACAGAAAATTCCTAACCTTGTGAAAAGGAGGAGCCTAAGCGAGAAATTACAAGGTTTGAAGCTGAATGATTGGTGTGGTCCACTCCCTTATGAATGCGACGAAGAATTGGGAAAATGTGTCTCTGCCACTGCACCATGATTACGATCTTTCTCCTGTAGAATGGAATAAGAATAGTTAGACATAATTCAAATATCAGAAAGTGTAGTAGTTGTTTCAGCTCCTATTTTAACTCCAAATTTCAACCAGAAAGTTTATGCAGGACATTGCCCCTTTGAAACAGAAAATCTATTAGCAAGTGGACTTGGAAAATTCAAATTATGCAGACCATAACTTTCCAGCTCTTGTTATGTGCAGTCTTATGACCTTATGATGCAGTGAGCAATTTTATGCAGTACCATGACTACGTTAGGCAAATAATAATTTCCAACACTTGTTACATGCAGTACCACAACTTTCTTATGCAGAGAACAATTTTTCCAGCACTTATAATATGCACAACCATGGCTTTATTATGCAGATAAACATTTCCAGCACTTACTACACGCAATGCTGTGACTTTGACATGCAGGAAGCAAATTTTTGCAACACTCATATCATGTAGTACTACATTCTCTTATTTTTACTCATTTTAGCCTAGTGCCTGAGGCCTCCAGGTTACCAAAATACACATGCAAGATCAACCAGTGATGAGCCATGTCTAAACAGAATCAGTTTGACAAGATAAAACTTACACGGAGTGTAAAACTCGACCAACCATCAATAATTTCAAACAATAAACAAGTACAAACCTGAACTCACATTGAATTAAATTACACAAAATAGAAACAACATCAAAGGATCTTTCAAATTAAAAATACACAAGAACGAACAACATCTGACCAACAACAGGAACATCTTAAGCCAATACGCATGTGACAAAAAATTTCTACAATCACTTTGTCATGAGTGTGATCAACAACATTACAAGAGGTATTAAAACAAACATATGGTGGGCATAAAGCATATAACGTCGAAAACTACTCCTTAGGTCCCAGTCACTGATGCAACATTTTCACAAACACGTGGTATGTATCTACATCTAGTTTGAGAGCAGTCACATTTTAACGGGGGAAAACTACAAGTAATGCATGTAACAGATGAAAGTTGAAAGAGACAACTACAAATTGAAAAAAGTATAATCTATCAGAAGAAGAATACGCAAAGGAAGTGAACGAAGATACAGAGAAAGTTAAACCAAAAAAATGAAAGACTGAAGGACCTATTTGTCGCCGGCGTTTATTTTACGGTGGTTGGTGGTTGTTTTCGGCGGAGGAACAGAAAAAATAAATGAAAAGAGCATCAGAGCTATCTTTCGTGCCCTGGAGGAGTCTGTTCTTCACAAGACATGTTATTCTTATTTTTCTCTTTTTTATTAATTTTTTTTTAAGAAAAAACTACACAGTTTTCAAAGATTTTTGGATTTAATTTTTTTATTCGAGTAACAACATAAAATCAATTATAAAATCAAATTATTCTATATGATTTTATTCAATAGTTTAAAAGGTTGTAACGAGTACTTACACTTTTAAAAACTTTAGTTTAAGATAAATTTTAGTCTTACAATTTTTATTCATTTGTGTTTTGATCTCTATAATTTTTTTTAAGAGTAGATTTTACAATTTAATTCTTTTTTTTTTTTTTATCTAAATCAGTTTAATCCGATTCGAAGACTACTATCAAATCATATTGGAGGTAACTCTCAACGTAATTTTCTTCATTTTTACGACTCAAAATGGATATCTTTGATTAAGAATAACAAATTCTGTGTCATTTATTGTTATTCAATAAAGATTTTGGCCTCCTCGAAAAATTATATAACGAAAATTAACAGATAAGATTTAATAGTAAGAAAAAAATAATAATAATTATAACTTTCCATTACTTTTATATAAATAAATAAAAAATTGATAGGCAAACTGTAATAACCGTAAATTAAGAAAAAGAAAATTAACTTCTGTATGTGTAGTCAATTAGTGTAATTTCTCTTAAGAGAGCGTTTGATACAGGAGAAAAAAAAATTTAACAGAAAAATATAATTACTAGAAGTATGGTGGGAAACTGAATTTGGTAGAAAAATTTTAAAAAAGTTGTTTGGTAGGCCGAAATATTACCAGGAAAATTAGTTTTAGTTTGCTAAGTTTATGTTTGGTTCAAGGTAGAATAAAGCTAGGTGGAAAAATATGATTAAATTACCACAACAACCATTGTGTAACAACTCGTTGTACATCGGTATTGTTTATATTAATTATGATATTAAGCGCAGTTACAATCACAACAATTCATTTATAAAAAATGCGAATAAACTTTTTTCGTTATTACGCGAGTATTTAAAACAATAAAAAACGTAATAATTAAAAGTTGTGACAGTAACTGTAAAATCTTTGTGGAATACTTATTTAAACTACTTTTATAACTTATTTTACTTACTACAAGTCACTAAGGTGGTGTTTGGTTGGGAGTTTTTCAGCGGATATCTATCTTTCTCAAGTATGGCTTTTAGAAACACCATGTTTGTTTCAACGTTTTTCACCAAAAATCCATCTATCCAATTTGTCTGGATTTATGAGAAACATAGATATCCACACTGTTTAGAAACCCAATTTGAAGGTGGGATTTTTTGAAAAACCGGTTATCTGGCTTTTAATGCACTGTTGATTTCATAAAGCTACCTAATTTTCCCAGTAAAGTTTTTCCCCACCAAACAACTTTTGTTTACATTTTTCTACCTATCTCACTTTATCTATCTTTCCAATCATTTCTCTATCTATCTCATTTCCTTACTATTCCAAAAAAATTTCCTGAACCAAACGCCCCTAAGGGGTTTCCATAAACTCACTTAGCTAATTTCTCACCTTTACGTTTTCTACCTATCCGAACATGGTTCGGTCTTTAATTTTCTGCGGATAAAACGCATACAACAAGCCTCCCATATTTTGATATGTTATTCTACACTCAATTACCTTTCTAGGAAGCTATCACATGAGTTATTTAGAGCTCGTTTGCTCCGGATATCGCCGTTTGAAGTTGGACAAGCAAAACTGCCAACCAACCCCAAAACAGCTCCAAACATCCCTCTCTCTACGAATTACTGCAGCAAATTAACTCAACCAATTGCTCTCAAATTTTTATACAACAAACTAGACACCTCAAGCTTCAATTTGATATATCATATACTTAATCTGACTAAGAAACGAAACGGAAATAAATTTTCCAAAACCGGTCCAGAACTGCCACATGTGTAGTGAGCAAATGGGCAGTCTGCACTCTCTGCCCTCTCCAGGCTGACGTCCAACCCATAATTTTACCAAATTATACCACAAGATAGAGGACATCATAAGCTTCAAAATGGTGTATGGAATGTCCCTATCGGACCCTTGTGGAAGGAGATATGATCTCCCGAAGTTCACCTAAATTATGCCAATTTTTGGAAATTTTGCCAGAGTTTCCGTTGTTTTTACAAAAATCTCCAAATTTGCTAATGTGATCTAGGAACTCAAATGTACCTAATAATCATTGGGTGGCACACACAAGGACCAACAATGCCTTGGGGCACTTACAACCCATCACAGTTTATTTTATTTATACAATACGTATCACATTGCTTTCTTTATTAATACTTAACACGTTTCAATCATCAAGGTCCAATTGCATGCATTTGCTAATCATACACATAATCATAATCCTAAAATAGGCCTATTGCCCTTTCACCATATTTCATATGCTTTACATTACACAAGATCCAATTACAATATTTACAATTATCCAAATTACAACATAATTCATAAGTCTCCAAATGTCATAAACTACATTTATCTAGACTTAGGCAAAAATAGCATGAACAAATATGACACAAATCTCATCCTAACAACATATACAATGTTCATGCCCTAAGTCTAGCCTAGGCTCAATGGCCATCAAAATGCAAAATACTAATGATACTCCGGCTAATCATCTTACGGGCTTCTTTCCTGCCGCTCCAGCGCCACTGCTACCTCCTGAAATAAAGCCCCCAAGACGGGGTGAGATATACGAATATATCTCAGTAACCCAGAGGTTCTGGAGAAAACTCCGCCCAATGGCTCACTTCGATGCATATAAATAATACAAAATAACATCTTAAAAAAAGGGGATATAGCAAGGGATTTAGAGAAATTGGGGAACATAGGGATACAAAATATGACGAAGCTGGAATGGTCGCTACCAATACCACGCAACGTCCTACCTAATGGCTCGGCATATAAGCCTACGGGTCTCAACCAAGGCGTGTTCCTAGAACATCCAACCGAGGCACCCTCCATCCATATACACCCGAGACTTCCTAGTGTGCTCCTATCCGGATCACACACCACGACCCTAGGTCAACTAAAACTCCCTCTCGGAGACCTATCCAGTGGAAGTCTGAAACGCCCGAAGGCAAACTATCTACTGGCCAGAGACTCGGTACATCCTATGTACCAACATACATACTAAATGAATGATCATGTTATTCTACATTGCTTACATACATTTTCTACCATCACCCTCAACGGGCATTGTGGAACACACAAGGGGATCAAGCCCCAGTACCAAGAGGTTACCTGTTTAGTCCTTGTCACTTAGCTCCCAATAATATATTCTCCGAGCTCTTTATATAGCAGAAATGCCTACACAGAGGACATTCCCAATTACTTAAAATTCATACAACACATGCAAGTTATCAATTACACAAGCATGGTTCCAATTACTTACCTCAATCCCACTTGGTCCAGGACCAAGGGCAATCCACCGAACTCACGGTTCAGGGTTCAAATCTATGTACGGCAACCTACAACAACCATGTACGAATCATCAATACACGGCAATTCTATCAGAATACGAAAACGTCAAAAAATTTCCCCTACACCATGTAGATTCGGCCTCACAAGTGTTATTTTACATTTTATTTTTCTAAATTTTCTTTCTCATTTTCTTAGGCATTCTTAGGTTACCAAAAGGCCATATCAAGTGCCACTTTTCATTTTACGTCATTCAAACGTCGTTTTGACTAATATTTTGCTGTAGGTCCAATCAACCACTCAACACTACCAAACATTTTTTCAATTGTTTTCCAACCTTCCAACCACCACACAACTCATCTAATTACCATTCAACACATAATACATCATCCAAGTAACTTCAACAACATCATTTCTTTTCTTTTCCCTAAATGGCCGAATTCCACAATGGTGTACTCCAAGAGACTTTCAATCAATTTTAACTATTCCACACCTTATACAATCCTATTATATCATCATACAACCATACAACAACCCAATTACACAATCCTAACACAATTCCAAAACACAAAGTCATGGCATCCTCAAAATTTTCTAAGTTAAAAATCATATTTTTCACCAATAATTTTTATTGCATTTATGGCTCCTACACATCATTCTAAGACACATTCAAGTACAAATATTTTCCATTTGAGCTCTCTAACAACACAAATCAACAAAAGTCCCTTTAGGGTTCATGAAAATAAATTTTCAAATCAATCCATGAGAGGTGTTGAAACTTACCCACAATTATGTCATAAGGATCCCCCAATTGATCCTCAAGCAATGGCTTGAGCAAACAACTCAAAAATCACAAAATTTCTCAAGAAATTCGTGGCTGGTTTTGCCCATTATCTCTCAAATGAGAGGGTTTCAAGGAAAACTAATCGGTGGAACGGGTTCGGGTGGTGATTTCCATCGAATTTCAAGACAAGAATCGTCTGATTCGGTTAAGAATCGATGAAGTTAAGAGAAGAAGAAGATTTGAAAGCAAATTTCCATGGAGGAGGGAGGGAGCACAGTTTTGATGAGAGAGAAAGGAGAAAAAGATGATGAATAGTGACCCATGCCATGTGTTTAAAGGTCACTTAAGTGGGGTGGGTCCCACCGCCACCTCACGCGATTCAAATTAATTCAAATCTCCCGCCTATTCCACTAAACGTCCATAATTTCATAAACTATTTAGAAACTTTAATTTTTAACATTAACCATTGTCCTTTAGTTGTCCTTGATCAAATGGATCCAGAGTTTTTCGGTCGTTCGGAGAAATCGCAGTTTTAAGCTCTTACGCGCGTCGTTGGCACGCTTCCCCAAACTCACTAATTTCTGTCAATTTTCATCAGAAATCATATTTCCTAGTCAAATATACCATTTATAACTTTTACTCAAAACCTAGAGCTCAAAACTCAATCGACACATTTTACGGTGCAACTGTATCGCGATATTTTTACCCGATAAAAACATTATTCACTGAATTTTCTGAAACTTGCCTAACTACTCAATTTTTCGTTCTGAATCCATTTTCAGGATTATTTTTATCATTTGAGACCTTCTACTCAATTTT